ATTCTGTTTAATAAAGTGGAGGCAGTAGCACAGCTTTGGAACAATGTAATTGCCTTAAAGAAAAATAAAATTATTAGAACGGTTTGAAAATATTATTTAACAAATTTATAATAGAATAATAGGAATAAGTATTACAGTATAAAAAATAGCGTTCTAATATTCAATTAGAGTGCAAAATTGCCTAAATTTTCCTTTGATAAAACGTTTGTGGTGCATTACAATGTATTTATTATTCGGTCCACAATATGCGTGTGTGTAATAATTATAATGAATAAATATTACAATATTAGTTTGTTACCCTTACGTATTCTGTATAAGAAGCCCTTCATTGATCACAGAGTTTATTATTATTATTATTATTATTATTATTATTATTATTATTATTATTATTTATTATTATTTATTATTATTATTTATTATTATTTATTATTATTATTTATTATTATTATTATTATTTAATTTTTGGGGTGTGTGAATTGGCCGTCTAGGACCGCGCAGACACGCCTGCACTTACTGAGGCTTAGTAACATTTATCCCGTGACATCTGTATGCGACTCCTATTTTGGGGGGCATACACACACACATACTCAAACGTCGGTTCTTCCTCATTGTGCGAACCTCTTCATCATACACGTTCGATTCGGTGTGCGAGCAGAAGTGGCAAAACTCCTATTTGAAACCAACCAAGATGAAGGGCTCTTTTACATTTTGGCCTTTCTCGACTCGTGGGCGAAAGGATTTGTACCCGTCATTGTACACTTCCCGCACGGAAATCTTACTATGTGGCCTACTCCCCTTTCGAACGATACAGAACTTATCTTGCCGTGGAGCTGGCTCTGATGCACTGTGATGAGCCAAGAACAACTGAGGTCATTTCTTTGCCGTCACTAGAAGGGATACTTGATATAACTTAATCTGTAAGACGCAGATTATGTTATTGAATATGCCTGTCTTTTCAAATGTCAGTAGTTTCTCTCAATTTGTCTGTCTTGCGTTTTACCACTTGACACGAATGTATGTTGTTCGTCTGTTTTACGAATTATTCTTTGGAGTTATAATTGGTTTAGTTAACTATCGTCACAGTGGATATATTTTAATATAATTTCATATGTGCGCCAATGAAACTTCAGACAATCTTCGAGGCAACATGTATCCTTTTTTTTTTTACTTCCAAGTATCAAGTATCTTGTCCAATTTCATGCGATGGTCTTCATAAATATGATTTAATTTTACATAGTTGTTTGCATGTTTTCCTACGCGTGTAGGAAAATTGTGCGGTTACTCCGATAACACAGGCACACAAAATAAAAAAAGAAGTTGTCGGACCCAAAGACTGTCTCTATGTATGTTGACGCGCTGAATCCATATCTGAAACCAGAATTAAGCCACCAACCTCCAGTTGTTTTTAAATCGCAAAAAAATAAAAAAAAAAAGTTCGTGAAATAGTATTTTTTGATTCCAGGAGTTTTCAGACCCAAAGACTTGACACACTTTTCTCTATATGTGGACGTGTTGTATCCGAATGTGAAGCCAGAATTGCACCATTACCCTTCAAATGTTTCTAAAATCTCGAAAAACCACTGTGAAATTGGAAATGGTAAATTTTACGATGGGTTTTTGCGGTTTAGTAAAAACTGGAAGGTGGTGGCGCAATTCTGGATTCGGATTCAGCTCGTCTACAGATATACTGAAACATGTGTGAAGTCTTGGATCTGACAACTTTTGGCTTCTGTAGAGTACAATGCTACAAGGCACCAAAATCTAGTATTCGTATACATTTTTCGCGATTAAAAAAACTGGAGGCTGGTGGCACAAATCTGGCTTCGGAATCTTCGCGTAAACATTTATAGAGAAACATGTGTAGTCTTTGGATCTGTCACCTTTTTATTTTTATTTTGTGTGCCTGTGTAATTGGTCTTAAAAGAAGGGAAGGTCCTTCGCACGACTTTACAAAATTTCCAGAATATCGCAAGGGCACCCTTATTTGTTAATCTCTTACAACGTACCCACAGTTTAGAAGAATTGGAGAGGGACACCCCGGGATGTTTCCTTAGTTTAGATATTTGAAAGTAATTATTAGCAAATGATGTAAGGCTGGTCTCTGGATGGGGCGAAAATAAATGTTCTCAATTTTTAACAATGGGTACGGGTCTAAATATACCCACTTTGCGTGAGGAATTCGAAACTGCCATTGATTTTTCTGATTTGAATATGTTCGATAACACATTCATTTCTTTCACAGTAATAACAAAATGACAAATCATGCGTAAGTGTTATCTTCATATTCTACCTTACTGAAAATAACTTTTTTGTATCAAAACAAATAATTTACCATACTTAAGCCATATCCAATACAAGTTGTTTTTTTTTGTTTTTTTTCCCTAATTCTTGCTTATGTTCATTTCTTGACATCATCCTTGTGCTCGTTTCTTGACTTGGACATTCTCTTTTTTCATGCATGTATGCCTTACTTACTGCGTCTGTTAATTTTATATCTCTCCTTTCTAATGTCTGGTCATGACAAGGCACATATGGTACTTGCATTAGCTCATATAACAGTATCGGTTTATGGGTATTCGTACATTTGCATGTGCAAACCCAAATTAATTCGGTGCAATTTCTCTTAAACATTTCTTAACTAGAGGAGAATTCTCAGGGGAATACAGATTTTACGAAACATAGTATTTGAAAACACTCGCCGTTCGGAAGCTACGATTACTACTGCGATTGGCTGTGATTGCTGCCAATGCCGTTCGCGAAAGCCAGCCGGCGCGCACACGGCGAATGCGAACGAGGGAAGAACGTTGTAGGCTACCGTGGGGCCGGGGGGTGGAAGAGGGAGTACAACGCTCGGTGGCTCGTGGAAGCACGGAGCATTCCGCTGCCGATGCGAGTCCTACTGTGTCAGCGCAGTGACGATTGCTGTGAGTGCCTTGACATGCCTCGAAGATATAACACTCGGCTAGCACACGTTTTTAACAGAAGTACGTGTAACATTGAACTTAGAAAGTGTTACATTTAAACACCGCGCTAGCGCGCGAAACGCAAACGCATTGCTGGGCAGTCTTGTATTCATAAAAATGTTAATTGAATATTAAATGCGTATTCTCTGGTGTTTTAAAGTGATCATATGTTATTCATAAATTATTCAGTGCTGGATACTTTAAAGTTGGTTAAACAACATCCACTCCATCCTTCTATTAAAACCGAAGTACACATGATACAAAACATGGCGTGGGCTTTTCAACCAAGAACTCTTGAATCAACATGAATAACACAGACCACCCATAGACTTTTTAGAAACTAAAAATTTCAGAATTTTCCCTTGAAAGCAATGTTTTGAAAACCAAATTGGTTAAATCCTATTACCTGTTGTCAACCAGCGTGAGTGATTTGCTGCTCCAATTGGGCCTCGGGGGTTCTATAGTCGGCATTCTTGTTTATCTGAATTTCTCGACATCTTGTTAAGAATCGTTTCTCATTTACCCAAAATTGGCTAAAAAAGAATGGTGTGCTATTTCTCATTTTTCAAGCACTTTAGAATAGATGTATTTTCGATATCGGCCTTACAGGTATTTCTAGCTTCAAAATTGTTTTCTCTCGGGTACGGACCAATTGTTCGGTAATCTCACTTAGAGAAGCTCGGAAGTAGTTTCTATTAATTTTAGTAGGTGATGTTTAATTCCAAGCCAGTTATCACTATTATATTTCATTACAATATCCGAACAATATATTAATCCCATTTTCAATATTTCCTCAACCAGAATTATTACTTAAAAACTTCATCGAAATGGTAAAAAATGGATGTTTTTATTAAACAATTTACTAAACGAAACGAGATTTGGTTAATTTCGGAAATGTATTTTTGAAAATAACATATCAAGACAACTTTATCACCCGTCATTGTTTTCAGCGTTGACACAAACTAAGGCTGTAGGCTTCGTGAACGGGATTCTTGGCTCTCCGGGTTACACCGCGTGGAAGGCTGCGTTACCGACGTTTTAACCATCTCATCTAGCTTTTCCTCTGGGTTGATGTGCGGCAGGACGGTAGGCGGCCGGATCCAAATACCTTTGTGGCAGGTGCGTGGGTAGCCAAGGCATCGTGCGGAGGAAGGGGTGCGCTCCTGGCAGGGACATGCGCGTCCCCGTTTACCGTCCTTGATGAAGGCGCAGATGGGCCGGATATGTAAACGAATATGTGCTGCTGCTGCTGTGTGTGCGTGCGTGTGTGTGTGTGTGTGTGTGTGTGCGTGCTTGCGTGTGCGTGTGTGTGTGTGTGTGCGTGCTCGCGTGTGCGTGTGTGTGTGCGTGCTCGCGTGTGTGTGTGAGCGTGCGTGCGTGCGTGCAAGTGTGCGTGTGCGTGTTTTCTGCGATTGCGAGAAGTGCGGCTTATTATCACAACCGTCAAGCGTCCCTCGCGTTAACTTAAATAGTACAACGCTGGTGTCAAGAAGGTGTGTGCCCAGTGCTGTGTACCGCCACCATGCCACTTGCAAGCGGTGAACGTTGAGCTTGGAAGAGCGTTGCGATTGCGTTTCGTGGACTCGATTGCGTTTCGTGTTTCCAATTACGGTAAGAGCCGAGATCAGTGAAAGTACGGAAACAAAATAGGTGTAATAGTGTTGTGACCTCGTCAGTTAATTAGCTAATAGAAATAATTGTGAACGGCGTAAGTTTTGTTTGCAAATTTATTCCTAATATTTGCATCTCAGGAATCCGTACATAAATTGAGATCTAGGACATAATCTGTAGGAATTGTTTGTGTTGAATAATTAACAGTAAATTACCTAAACACTGTACTAAATTAGTACAGTGGCATTACGCTCAACAATAATAGAAGACACAGAGCATTCAAATTCATATGAATGCAGAAAAACAAAGAATAAGAACCTATATTACGGGCGTACAACTACCAGCAGGGTAGCTCTCCGTTACTAATAACTTTCCTGTCTTAAGACTGTCTCTCTCTCTTTCCCCAAGACGCAACAACAGTTGCGCATGCAAGTTTCTTATGCAATGAATCCAAACTGGCTGGCCGAACATGCTAGGAAGGAAGGAAACACTGCTCCGAAATGCACACGGAAAGCCCGTGGCGCAAACCACACAGTTTTACTGCTGGAAAACGCTTTCCTAAAAACCGAGGATGGCAATATGGTACGTCAACGACACATTCGCGGCGTGGTTTCAAGAGCACGACATCCCTCACAAATTTTTCCAAAATCTAATTCACCAAAGTGGTTTGAAAAGACGATTGTCTACGATTCCTTTCGACGTGTTGGAGAGCTACTGAAACGACGGCAGTTCAGAACACACGGTCGGCAAGAAACCTGACACTAGCTGTATTTTCGCTTAATTGTATCATTCAATGGGAAAACTGCATTCTGAAAACTTTCGTAAGAAATGCAGCCAGGATCTGTTCCTAGGTTATCCTTTCAACCGAGAGAGAGTTCCCGTGCCTAAAAAACTTTGAAACTGACATTAATCTTCCGTCATCAAAGGACCCTCGCAACGGTGAGGTCGAGGTCCAAGACGGGCATTCTTCCTTATTTCGATAGCGGAAATGTCAGGATCGACAAACTTCTCAAAAGATTCAGGTCAGGAAAGACCAAAGGGTCCCATCACAAGCTCGGTCGAACCTTGGTACGGGAAAAGAACCATCTTCCGAACAATCAACGCCGAAAGCTTACTCCGTCCCATGCAGCTATCGTCGCATTGACGTTGACGGGACGGAAATCTATAGAGCTCGGGCTACGCGAGCATGTTCATTTTAAGTTAGGCATTTGTTTTAGGAGGCGCGTACGTGGAGATGTTACCTGGCGGTCCTCTTGACAACTGACTGCAACGAGACGTGTCATGTAATAACTTATACAGGTAATAGAAGACTCCTAAGCGTACTATAACGGATGATTACTCACAAGTGCAAAGCGCTCAACGCCTTCCGAGGGGCTTGGAGACACGTTGCGGCAATTCAGACCAACTATTTTTTTTTGTTAAATCGTTCAGGAATTAAAACGGTATGCCGTAGCTCTGGGTGCCTTACAAATTCGTCACAACTTCAATTCGAATAGACTAGGGAGGTGGTTCAGGTGGATAAAGGAAGATTACCAAACGTTCCCAAAACATCAGGGACGGCGCGGAGTTGCGCCGCCATGATGCATAGAGATCCTTATTGCGATAAACGGTACGCGCGTGCCCTATCTAATCCTTGCCGTTCGATTCGACCCTTTCCCTCTGCCACCGCATGGCGCTGCTTGATTGGCCGGTTACCTGGCTACCCAATCAATCTCGTTCTCTTTCTATTATCGAGCGCCCACCATCCTGGTGTTCGCCGGGGGCGGTGGCGAAGTCCTGAGGAAGACCACGACAAGATTGAAACACGTGCATCGTGGCCTTCCATGCGGTTGCACGCGATTAGCCGAGATAATTCGAATGTTGGACGAAGTTTTTCGTGTAGATACACTGCTTGTTCATCTATTAAACTAATTATGCAACGAAAGTTCCCGTGCGTCGTCAGGTGCTAACGAATCAATCCGACGTATGTGTATTCTTAGAAGTACTTACATAAAGTGGCGCGTTACGCGAAACTCTCGGAAATTACCATTTTCTTATTTCCTTTCGCCTTCTATTTTTAATTATATTCTATGACTCACTAAACACGTCCTGAAGACACACCTTTTGTAGCATGTTTTAGAAACTAGATTTAAATAAGATTTTAAAAATAATATGCGGACATGTTAAACTATAATTCGGACTTACCTTTATCTACTTTTTATTTATGCCACTCATGAAAATATTTATTACAATTCGACTTCATATTTCATTCAAATAAATAAAACTGTGAAAGAGTAATTATGTAATTTACGCATTTGCATTGTTTGTAAATGTGCTTGGATTCTTTCACGTGTTTGTGTAGATCAAAGTTAGTTTTGCACTTTCCTTTTACGATCACCCCCTCTTCAGGTAGGAGAATGGGTGAGACGAGACCTGGTACCAAATCCATGAAAAAATCTGTGGTTCAGCAACAACATAAAGAAGTTGCGCAAGTTCACCCAATTACTTGTGGTGAAATATTGGAATTGCAAGAGTATGCTGTTGGCTCTAGTCCAACAGACTATCACCCCTTGTCTTCATCCGCAACTTTCAAGCTGACTGCCAAGCCACGGGAGCCCCCCATAACTCGGAGGAAGGTTAGTGATGAAACGAAGGAAGAAATCCAGGCTGAGGACGAGGCCACTCTCAGGGAGTTGCTTATGAGGTACGTACTTGTACAGCACATATTTCCTCCCTCTCTCTACCCCTCCCTTTGCCCTCTCCTTTGACCCTTTCAGCTACCTACCCTTTCCTTCTCTCTTTCTCTCGTTCTCTTTTCCTCGTTCTCTCTCTGACTCTCCTGGTATATATTTATTATTAAACCAGAATTATATTAATTACCCTTATGGCACATTAATATATTAGATGACAATTGTAGTTCTTTCTGTGAGGAATGCGATAAAGCTGTCTGTTGATTGAGTTTCATGGATGGATTGAAACTTTGACAGTTTGAAATTTTTGAAATGACATGTGCTTTATCCTTCTGTTTTTCATGTATATTTAAAAAATTATTCAATTTACCAATATTTTTATTTTTAAATGTATTTTTCATTCACACTCTGAGTTTACATACTGAAACATTGCTTTTACAGAACTAACAATTTTGTTGTACCATATTTATAATGACAATAACAGGTGTTCGAAGAAGATAATCCTATTGTTATTTCTTAGAAATACCATATTCCCAACATGTAATATATTCAGTGCTACATAGATGGTCTACTTCGTAAATCAGTTTTATTGTTTTATCTTTTTAAAAGAAGCTACAGCAGTAATTCATTATGTGTGTTTGAAGACCACTGTAAAGTGCTACTCAATTCTGATCAAATCGGATCCTGCAACTAGATATAAATCAGGGAACAATGCGTAAATAAAATATTTTTTTGCAAAAAGTGCACAAGATAGTAAATAGTGATAATCAAATTTGTTTCAAAGTAATTCCCTAGGACTTCCACTAATATTGCTTGACATTAAGAAGTAACGTTAAGAAATACTTAATATTGGTTGAGGCACTGAATACTAGCGACTGTATAATGGCACGCAACGCCTTCAACTTCATAGCGAGGTCGAAATTGCATGGTTTTTCGAGAGATGGATTGGAATGATCGAACGGAAATGGCCGCATGGTTTTCCATCATTTTGCGACCACAGAACCGCCATACACTTTTCGTCTGTTCTCATTGAGTATGAAATAATTATATGCATGTAATGCCAACGATAACTCACCATAATACCTATATCACATTGCGTAGTCACTAATACATTTAGATGTCATCTAAGCAGCATCTGTATGTCTCAGGGGTTGAAAAGTATGTACTTCACGAATTGTGCATTCTACGAAGAAATAGCAAGATAGGAATGGCATATGAAATAACCCGGTATAATTGTAAAATTATAATTAATAAATAAACTATAAGAAAAGAGAAAAATAAAGTGTTTAAAATAGGTTGATTAATGGTGATTTCAACAACTTTCAAATATAATATTCTAGATAACTAAAGATAAACAAAATGGAGAAACTAAGAACGAGTAGGATTGATACAAAAACAGCGGATAAGAATAGGGGCGGATTTAAATGATGTAAAAACTCAGCGCGACTCTGTTTTCAAATTAAAGTATTTTTAATATTCGGTCGCAATTGTTCGTAAATTTTACACGCAATTGAATCGGTGTTGGTCGCTAGGACTGTCTGTTCAATGGCAGTGCTAAAGGAAATGCTAAATAAATAAATTTGACGTATAATGCAAGGTCGTCGACATAATTTGTAAGTTTGCTTTAATTAACATAAGGTGGAAAATTATTTTTTATGTTATTCACATTTTATGGGTGTACGTATGTCTCATATTTTAAATGGATTCAATGATAATGAAACGAAACTTGGAAAACATTATAGGAGAGACCCATGCTATGCCGTGTTGTTTTCCCAATCCAGTTTTTGCAATGAAAATACATTTGAATACGCAAGTGAATACTTGGCAAAATTGTGTGTACTAACTTACGTTAACTTACACGAATACATTGGATTCTCGAATCATTTTTTATTTGATTTTACATTCGAAGTTGTTTATTTGCCGGTGTATCGAGACTCGTGGCTGGTTCGGGTGTACAGGGCTGTAAGCACACGTATTTTCAACTTTCTGTCACATGCACATAAAAATTCTAGATTTAACAGGGTCGTTTTTGTTTAACGATCTAGTTTCCTAGAATAACGAGGCGTTTTACTACGTTAAGGCTAACATACACTAAATTTTCAATACTCTTACTGTTCAAATGTTAATCATAAACCAATTTGTATTTGTTCCATCCATAGAATCATTGTTCACCTCAAAGGACTGTGAACACATTAGCGTGTGTTGGGTGAATGTCAATAGTAGCGTTTTCTGGTAACGGGAACGATCGGGGTGTAGGAATGAAAGGAAACTAGAAGGAAGGGAAAGAGGTGGCAGGATGGGTGATAGGTAACGGTGTGAGGTGACGGTGTGAAGTGACAGACTTTTGAAGTCCTTTGAATCTTTTGTAAATAATGAATTTAATAACAGGTGCAATAATTAATTATATTTCTGTATAAATGTTTATATGTATTTAAAATTTGAATGTTTTGTCATTGTAGTCATCTTATATAGACGTATTATTTAAATGTTTCCTGAAACTTGAATAAAATCTCCTCCTAATACACACACACACACACTTAGTGAATCATTTCAGGTGGGAACGAATTCACCAGACTTGTATTCAATTATATTAAACACCGTTTCTAATGTCAATTTCATGAGAAAAACTTCATTTCTTTGCCACAGTTTCTTGTCGGTTTCTCTTCTGTGAGACGCACAAAGTTGTGTGAAGAGCAGTCGTGCTCGAAGGAACATTCTTAGTAAGACAGAGAAAATATTCTTTTAACACACATACTCAGAATACCCTTTTTTGAGACATCAATAACGAAAAATTGATCGACGGCAGAATGACAACCTTCCTCGGTGTGTCTGTGCTTGCCTGCCTCGGTGTGTGTCCGTGTGCTTGCCTGCCTCGGTGTGTGTGTGTCTGTGTGCTTGCCTGCCTCGGCGTGTCTTGTCTGTGTGCTCGCCTGCCTCGGCGTGTCTTGTCTGTGTGCTGGCCTGCCTCGGCGTGTCTGTCTGTCTGTCTGTCTGTCTGTCTGTCTGTCTGTCTGTCTGTCTGTCTGTCTGTCTGTCT